TGTGAATTTTCTTTGGCCAACTGAAATGGCAGCTGATGCTCAGATTAGGGCAACTGATCCTGTCCCCACTCATGATGTTCAGGGTAGCCTTCAGAGTTGTTTATCTGAACAACTGGAGTCATGTGCCACAGGGAGAGCTCAGGCTCGCTCTTTCTCTTCTCCAACATCTGTATTCACTGGGTGTCCACTCACTGTATTGGCAGTTGCTTCACGTTCACCCCCACGTTGCCTTACAGAATTCAGGGTGTCTACTCAATTTAATTTTTAACTCCAGGCCCACAGATAAATGAGATGCCAAGGCTTGCAGAGACGGCACAGGACCAGTGACAAGTGGTGTTCCTCATGGGTTGGTATTGGGACTGGCACTGTTTAACATCTTTGTTGGTGACATGGACTGTGGGATTGAGTGCACCCTCAGCAGGTTTGCTGATGACACCAAGCTGTGTGGTGCGGTCAACCCGTTGGAGGGAAGAGATGCAATCCCGAGGGAACTTGACAGGCTTGAGAGGTGGACCCATGCAAACCTCATGAATTTCAAGAGGTTCTGCACATGGGCCAGGGCAATCCCAAACACAAATACAGGCTGCTTGTGGAATGGATTGAGAGCAGCCCTGAGGAGAAGGAGGTGGGGATGTTGATTGATGAGAAGCTGAACATGACTTGGCAATGTGTGCTTGCAGCCCAGAAAGCCAACCGTATCTTGGGCTGCATCAGAAGCAGTGTGACTGGCAGGGCGAACGGAGATGTTTCTCCCCCTCTACTCTGTACTTGTGAGACCCCACCTGGAGTACTGTGTCCAGCTCTGAGGCCCCCAACATAAGAAGGACATGGACCTGTTGGAGCGAGTCCACAAAGATGATCAGCAGGCTGGAGCACCTCTCCTAGGAAGACAGGCTGAGAGTTGGGCTTGTTCAGCCTGGGGAAGAGAAGGTTCCAGAGAGACCTTATAGCAGCCTCCCAGTACCTGAAGGGGGCCTACAGGAAATCTGGAGAGGGACTGCTTAGAAAGTTAGGGATAGGACAAAGGGTAATGGCTTTACACTGAGAGAAAGTAGCTCTAGATTAGGTGCTAGGAAGAAATTCTTCACTAGGAGTGTGATGAGGCAGCGGCACAAGTTGTCCAAAGAAATTGTGGATGCCCCATCCTTGGAAGAGTTGAAAGCCAGGTTGAATGGGGCTTTGAGCAACGTGGTCTCGTGGAAGGTGTCCCTGCCCATGAAAGGGGGTTGGAACTAGATGATCCCTGCATTCGAGGAGCGGCCTCACCAGTGCCCAATACAGAGGAACGATCACTGCCCTGGTCCTGCTGGCCACGCTGTTCCTGATACAAGCCAGGATGCTGTTGGCCCTCTTGGCCACCTGGGCACACTGCTGCCTCATATTTAGCCATCTGTCAACCTTTACGTGTCTGTTGGTTTCATTTAGTCCATGAAGTTGGGCTCCATCTGTTGCAACAGTCCTTCAGGGCAGGAGAGCTGGTGTGTGGTGTTGGGTTGTTGCATGCTGAAGCCAGTTCTCATTCAACCATCACTGCACTTGCTTGCTTTTGTCAAAGTTCATTCCTCATTAATATGGGAAATTCTTACTTGTTTCATATATGCCATTGATAAAGCATACAGCAATCATAAAAGTGATGACATAGAATATTATATAGCAATTAACATGACTGATCGCTTGTTTGATGGCAGCGCATGTTTCACATTCATGGATAACCTGTGCAATAGTGTCCATGGTCAAGTCCACCCTTCGCTCATGAGCCCATCTCTATGTTGCGTCTCTTCCTTGATGGCCTGAGGTGTCATGGGCCCACTCAGTTAGAAATAATTCACCCTTGTGTTGCCAGTCCAGATCCACCTGAGCCACTACAGTCTTAGCACCCAGATCCATCGGCTGGTTGTTTTGATGTTCTTCAGTGGCCCGGATCTTGGGTACATGAGTATCTATGTGACATACCTTCACAACCAGCTTCTCTACTGGGCAGCAACGTCTTGCCACAATGCGGCAGCCCAGATGGGTTTGCC